GGCATTACCACAAAATTATATTATATAAACCGCCATTATTCGAGGTCTAATGGATAATCATTGGCAGTGCGCGGAATTGACTCATCGGTAATATATTTGCATTGTTGACGAATATCAAGTAATAACGTTTTGACAAAACAATATTTTGTTATTATTACTTTATATCTCGATAATTCAGATATGGCCACGCTTATTTTGTCGGAAATATTGGACTAGTATAAAAGTTAGATTAATATAAAAATTATGTAAACAATTCGATAAAATCAATTTTTGCAATCTTTGCCATGAAATTGAATACAAATATTTGTACAGATTAATATCTTTCTTCATAAATGTGATTTACAAAATTTCAGAAAAAAAAAGGTTTATACTATTATATGTATAGGTATATATATATGTACCATATATATATTTTTTTTAAATATATATATATATATGTATATATCTTTTATAAATTATTTTAGGTAAAAATTCATCAATGTGAGCAAATACTTAATGTTCGATATTTATGAAAATATAACAATTAAAGAAACGTGAGTAAAAGAAATTATATTTTAAAAAATAAGAGATAAGATTCAGTTTTTTCATGCGTGAAACAAAATTACACACACTTATTTCCTGGTAAAGTAATAAAATTCAGAGCAAATTTTCAAAATCGTCCGTTTTATGCACTTCATTGCACGTGTGTAAATCGCGTGTACATTGTTGTGATTTGATATTCAATTTTAACAATTGTCATACAATTGTTTTTTTACATTTTATGTTTCATATATGATCACAACTAAGATTTAATGTAGTAAAGCTTCCCTTGATGCTTCTATATAGGTGTAATTAATTTGTCTCAAACGCAAAAGTCTATAGTAGAAAATCATAGCATATATCTTAGAAGTCATAGTATTAAATTCTTAAAAATTATAAATAATTTTCTAAATATTCTGAATTAGATTTATGTTTATATGAATTTTTTTACTCATAGTGTTCTCGTAAAGTGCCAGTAAAATTACGCGAGTCAACGTGTATATAAAAAATAAAAAAAATTGAAAAAAAGAATAGGTAGCTCAAATATAAGAAATTTAATAAAGGTCACGATATATGCGTATGAAATAAATAGAGAAGTAGGATAAATGTAATGAAACCCGAGAAAATTTAATGAATATTTATAGTTCAATAATAATAGCTTTATTTAAGTACTTTTAATTAGAGTTTTTAATAAATAATTGTTGACTGTCTACATATACGCGTATATACGTAACTCTCTAGTAACAATATTATAACATTTTCTGAACTGACTAAACATTCGACGTTGCAAAAGAAAAACCTAGGTAAACAAGACCATGCTTTCAGATCATCGCCACGGTGGTTAATTGCGTCTGGCTTGTTTAAAAGTGACATTGTCGCGACTAATTAAGTTCGCGTTTCTTTATGCACATAGAAAGAATATTCCCAGCAGATTTTTACGCTTATAATAAAGTTTAAAAAATGTTAACGCAAGTTTATGTGCGCGAAAATATACGATAAATTATTACTCTGTTCACAGTGCTTTTCAACATAAATATAATACATATAGCTTACAACGGATATATGTATCGAACATTTAATTTTAAGGTTTCAAAATAATATATCGGATAAAAGCTACTTATCGATATACTTTATATATTTATTTGTTTCAATAATATACTGTTATTACTGATTTCAGTGATTTATTAGCTTGTTGGAATATTTGAAAGTCACATCATCATGAAGTTGATTAACCACGTATTTAGTAATGAAAGCAATGAGAAACTGCAGAAATACAGATTCAAAGGCGTAAATATACTGTACTATACATAAGCACATTTCAAGTGAGCGCCTTTACGTATTTTGGAATTAAATCTTGCATGAAATGTAAAGACTAATTAAGTACTGAAATGGCCCGTAAATTTCTGCGGCTACGCTATGCGCCTTTTAATAAAAAGCTCTTTATTTATGCAGGTATTGTACGCGCGATGCATTATAATATGATTGTTAAATACCTGACTATAATATAGATAGATATCCACGATATTTGTGCTGTTGATGCTAAAGCTATAAAATTACCGCGGCAATAGTCTTCATTTACGATTACATTTCTCGAAAATATTGCATGTTTGTAATCGAATACCGTAATGAAAATTTCCAGTGGTTGGATAGCAACTCACTTGCGTTAAAATCACGAAGATATATTGTGATGTCGATATTTGTTGTAAAATGCAGCCAGTCCATTACGATCCTTTCAATCCTATTGTTCTTTAAATTTCCACAAGTAAAAGGGAAGCCTTTTTATAACAAAGACAAAGAAAGAGAGAAAGAGAGAGAGGGAGGGGATACATAACTAAATGTCAATATTGATAAATTAATAGTTAGTTTCTTTTTTGATCGAAATTTTAGATATAAAATGTCGCATTATTTAATCAGTATCCATTAATTGTTCTAAAAATATTTGAACAAAGTTCATGTGAGAAATATAAAATCAGACGTAAAGTGCCTTTGCCTGTTCTCTTATGCAATTTTGAACAGTCTCGCGGAAACATGCTCGCATAAACGTTAATATAATTGCTCGCGATAAGAACAGACAGGAGAAACATTATAACGTTATTAAAATTCCTGTCGTTTTATGGGAAACGAGCGAATGTTAAAGTTAACGAAATTGCTCATGGCGATGCTTTTTTGTAATCTCGGTGAATCGTTACATTAACAATGTCGCGGTCGAATTTTCTTAGAAGAAATCACTCTTACTATATACATGTATCTCGTCTCTTCGTTCTTCTATAGCGACTGGATCGTCTCAAGAGCGAAGCAATAATCTGGGATCTGTGTCAAGGAGTAATTCTCGTCTCTATTGTCGAAATGCATATTCATCTCATCGTCTCGTAAGGTGTGCTATACAGAGGGGGCATGTCATTTTTAGTTTTCGAAATACTCCATGTGAAGCAGCAGTTTGATAGTAAATAAGGCTAAAACTCTGGCAATTCTCAACTTTCTTCGATCGTGTGGAATTACTGTTTCGTAATAATATCCTATTTTCTTGCATGCTAATGCTATCTAATAATCCGGCTTTGTAACTTTAACAGCTTCCAAAATAGTAAAACAAATCCGGTGTACTGCGCATCCGTTACGATATATTCCCCGATGCGCGAGAAGCTGAAAATTTGTAGAACGAAAATCCAGTTTGACTCTTGAAAGTTTGGCATGAACTTCGCGGAAAGTTTGCGTTTATTGAAAGTTATTCGTCGTATCAACAGTCGCGTGTGTCTTTTCTCTTGTCTAAACTCTTTATGAAATAAAATAATTTGTGTCAGAAAAAATAGTAATAATAAAATATAAAGTTACCAAAGAAGAACTTTTTTACATTTTTTAGGGTAGCAATTTCTATTTTTCCTTTACATTTGCGACAAAAAGAGTACTTGTACAACTCTTTCGTCAGCATATCATAACAATCTTATATCTAAGGTTTTCCTGAAAGTATGTTACGTGAAACGTTACAATAAATCACTGTCGACACACAGTGCTCTTTGCGCGAACGTGTACAACTATAGTATAAAGTGCATCTTTTTCTTCTCATAGTACATAATGCGAAGAGAGAGATAGAGAGATAAATAAATAGAAAGACAGAGAGCAAAAGAGAGAGAGAGAGAGAATAATGTACTATATTCTAGATCAATATATAGCTCACATATTTAACGGTGATATAAAAAGTCATCATGTCATAGGAAGTGCTTATGTATTTTTAATTGAAGAGAGTGCAATCATTTTGAAATACAGTTAACTTTAAAAAATGCAAGAATTATTATACTTTTTAAAATAAAATTTTTATATAGAAAACTTTCATATTTACATAATGAATGAATTTGTTGAAAATTTTAATGAGTCATAATAAACAAAAAAAAACACTTTTTTCTCCTTTTTTGGGAATGTGCACACGCATATTCTGTGTCTTTTAATACAGAGCTTTATGCTTTTTAAAGCCTTTTTTTACGTGTGTTAATCAAAAATATGCAGCCATACCAAACGTAGTTGAGTACACATGTAACTGTTTCATAATTAGGTTTTTCATACAATTTATTTAAACAAGTCTAGAAAAAAGCTGCCTAGATAGCCCATTTGCAAGGACTTTAGCCAGTACGGCTAGTACGACTCCATCAAGGGTAAGAAAGTCATGTACGCTGTACGAAGTTACACCAATAACCAAGGGCAGATCCGCCGTACGCGTGGTCTCGTTAAAGAATTACTGCGGTCGTAAAGGGTCGCCTACAACGATCTTGGGTGCACACCCTAGATCTGAAGGTTCGCAGTTTCACCACCGACTTTTTCTTCGGTCTTACATAAAGGTAGATGGACAGGTTTTTGTAATAGTAGTTAAGATAATGTTTTTAGGAGCAAAATGTGAGAAATTTCACTTCTAATGGCACATATATAAGAAATTCTATCTTAAAGAAGAAATATTATTGGAAGTTATGAACTATTGTTATAAAAGAAGTTTTTCCTTCCCCATAAATAAAAAGAAATAGGAAGAATTTATATATTTTGTTTAAAGTTTGCTTTGTGATCGATGATAAACATTTTGTTTTCTACAGTATTTAAGGATATATTTTGTTTATACAAACGCTATAAAAATCAAATAAATCATAAATTTTTACATTTTATATAAAATAACATGTTCTCTGATAAAAAGTTAAATTACAAAAACAAAAGAAATAAAAATAATTTAGCGAGGCTGCGATTTAACTGCTACAACGAAAATTACGCGGGAAGATTGGAACATCAGTGTCACGATGCATTAAGCTGGTATTAACTACACGTTTAAGCCAGTATTTACGTCATTCTTGTTTACTTAGCTAATATATATGTCGGTATTACAATACTTTACGTTAACACAAAATAATCGGTTTGTTCTAAATAATAAGCTGCGTGAGGAAAATATTTCCTAATTAGTTGCTACAACAGAAGCTTTATATATTCAATGCAATTAGGATCCTACTTACCCTCGAGTTAAACTTTGTCGTTTAACGTTGTCATCTCTCTTCCGCACTAGAGCATTATATTGTTCCTCGTAATACGGATGAATGGTTTATAACGATTACATGCACAGATAGATCGCGTTTTTTATTTCGTGAAAAATCTCGAATAGTATCGTTGTAAATATTCTCGAGGCGCGCATTATCAAACGTAATGGAAGAAGCAAAAAGGAATCCAAGATATATTGCCTCGATAATACTACCTCTTGCAAATTGGAATCGATTCAGCTTTCTATAGCTATGATAAGAAAATTACGATGTTAACACTGTTGAAGTATCTCGAAAAATGTGAAGAATCATACAGCGCATGATATGATTGTTCACAAAAGATATAAAAAAATTCTCCTTTGCAATAAAATAATAGTTTTGTTACAAAGAATAAATTTCTCTGATTGGATAATTTATGCATTGCATAAATTAATATTAGCAGCTTCTTCTCACTGCATATTAATAATAATTTTAAATAAAAAATAATTTAATTTTATTAAAAGTAACTTGCATAATGTATAATTAACAAATAACTTGAAATAAATTTTAATACATTACAAAACTTCTTTTACAAAATTATCAATCGTAATTAGCGCGAAATTGAAAATGACAATTCACATTAATTCATTCGAAATCTCTAAAATATGAAACCTTTATATTAAGTTTTCTAAAATTTTGATTAGCATGAAACAAGCATTATTGATCACAAACTAAGGAACATTTTTGAAAGAATTACAATTGTATCGATTTAAATTATTCTCGATTAAGTTGAAGCGAGCGACACACTGTAATGTTAATTCGACACGTAGATCGATCGACGAAATGTTCTCCCCATGGAAATTTCTTTCCAAAAGGTGACGCAATTTTCAAACACGATACGCGCGAGAGATAGGGTCCAACCGAATGTAGCTACGCGCGTATACTGAAGGAACTTGTGCAGCGAGGGCGCCGGCTTGAACCAAACCAACCCCTCTTCCCAGCATCCCACGCGGCGCGCGTTCTCTTATCAGGCATTCGGGGCGATACGACTTTTGGACCGATAATATCGTCAATTGTATTAAGGGAAACGCGCGACAATCGATGATCGCGATAATCAGACGGGTTTGTCTCGATTTCCGCGAGTTAATTGCCTCGTTAGCTTTAATGCCCCACCAAGAAAAATCAATTGCATTATTTGCGCCTATCTGCATCGGTCCAATTAAATTTTCCATATAAAGACAGTGTAATTGTAAAAATTTCATTCTCGATATAGCAACACTACTGATATTTTCTTTAAATTATTACAGAGTATAAATTAATATAGGTTTTTGATAGATGAAAACGCACTTTATTTTTCATTGCTAATTAATTAAAATATAATTATGGATTGAAAGCACGATTGTTGACAATTATATTTTAGTAATCAATATACTACAAAATTCTTTGTTTATTTTTTATATTTTTCATTATAATATACTGACTTTTAATTAAAAATGAGTAATGTGCTTTTAAAACGTAAGGTGAAATCACAGGTTAAGGCAGAAAACCAAAATTTTAAGAGCTAAAAGCTAAGTGCTTCTGTTCTGAGATGTTCTTAGAATAGTTTATGTTACACATGCTTCAAGTATATGGTAGTAATGTGTGCAATCGCAAGAAATAATATTCTTGATGTGTTTTGGAACTCTTAACTGTTTTGAGACGAAAAACATAGCACTATAAAATATTTCAGAAAATATATCTAGATTGATTTCTCTATACACAACTTTATGTAACGTTCACTTATAGTTTTGCATATAAAATTTTATATTATATGAGATATCTACTGTATAGTGTTATCTCAAGAATTTGATTTAAAAATGGACAAAACAATTTATGAAAATAAAATACCCATTAAAATATGTAAATTCTGAATAAAGAGAAAACTCTGCATAAAAAGTATAAATCTTTCAAAATTCTTTAGTAAAAATTCTTTCGATTCCACGTTAAATGTGAAGCTGAAAACCAGATGGAATATTTTATTCAAAACATTTGGCTCAGACATTATCAAATATGTGGTATTTTAATAGAAAAACGCTGGAGAAGTTGATTTTGTTGCTCGATTTTATGCAAATTTATAGAAAAATTATGCTACGTTCGCTACGTGCATTAAGCTATATTACTACTATTTACGAAATTCTGTTAAATATCTGCTTCATCAAATAATGTTCGTAATATTCGATTAAAAGCTGTCGCGCGAGGAGTTGACTTAATGATATAAAGTGTTCGCACACGCTCGTTATTGGATTTACCTTTGACGCAGCACGAAAGCGCTACCGCAACATTATATTATTAATTAACCTTCCTAAGAAAAAAGCAAACACCTTTACGTCGTATCTCGAAGGTCAATGAACTTGCATTTATTTATACTGTATGATTAACTATTGTCCGCTTACAATATAATCTTGACAAACAAGATTGATTGCTTACGTGACAGTGTGTTGCAACTACCAGTTGCTATCTATTATAGAGAGTGCATTGCGCGGGCAGACGTATTTTTCCTCAATGAATAGTAAAAGTGAAAAGAGAGCGCTGTTTTTTATATATAATAAATTTAGTAATGTAACAAAATAATAAAATTTTTATTTTTGTTTATAATTTTTTTATCTTTTTTTTTACGAAACTTTAATAAATAAACATGAAAATGTTCTAAATTGAGTTCATCAATTTTCGCTAAAAGTAGAAATTGTGATTACAAAATTTTAATTAAGTATTAAAATAATTGTGAAAAAGTACGTAATTTTTAATACATTGCATATATATTTTGCAAACATTTTTACGCGTTTTAGAGTTATTAGCTGATATTAATCAGGGATAGATTAATGATACTTCTAAAATAAATATGATTGGGTTTTTTAGTCGTGAGATATAAAAATCGTGAGAATAAAAATTGATATTGATAGATCTCGTTCGCTGTATCTATGAATTTCTAAGGCTTCTGCGTAATTCTTACCGTCACCGAATTGCATGTTAGAATTCCTTCAAGCGTTATAAGAAATGATTACCCGCAGGGATTTATGAAGCGGGCGGTGAATTTTTTTCCCTTTATGACCGCGCAACACGGTATATATACGCGCGAAGTTCACGCTGGATTTCGCTCAACATTGTCCCGTCAGTCGCAACAAGTTTCGGGGTCGTATTACGATAAATAGTCCTCGCATTCTAGACGGTAAAAATAATGGACGACAATTTATCACTGCACATTTCGTCGTCGTTTTTATTTCATTGCGCGCAACAGTACTCGCATTCGTCGCGCTATAAAAAAAAAACTAGACACATTGAATGATATTCGCTGTTCTCGAGTATATATTACCATCTGTTCGGACAAATGCACGGCAATTTTAAAAAAAGTTTAGAATAGTAAAAAAAGAAGACAAGCAAAATCAATTGCATATCAAATTGTCAATTAGAGAGTTGATCTTTGTGCGCACAATTTCGCATAGAAGACAATTTCTCTCTGTTGCGCTTTACTTTCATCACTCCGGATAGCATTTTGTTCTTATTGTTCAATTAAAAAAATGAACTATTCTCTGTATCATAATAAAAAGGAACAAGACAATCGGTCCAATGTGTTCAGAAATTACAAACCGTGAAAATGTTAGCATTAATCTCGATTGTGTGGACACGGTAGCAAAAAATTTCTTTTCCAACAAGACTCACAAGAATGTGATTTACGCACTTACACCCGACCAAAAAGAACGATCCTGAGAAAATGTTTCTAATCATAGGAATTAATTACAGTAAAAAGTCGCGAGCAAAAGTTTACCAAAGCTACATATTAAAAGGACTGTTACTGCGCGGCAGCTTCCCTTTTCTCGTTCCGACAATAAAGAACCATGAACTTTACAAACTCGTTTGCCATCTCAGCGGGGCCATTTGGTTACAACGAAACATTCACAATGTTACAGAGACCGCGGTCTTCCATGTCTCGTATTTCCGTAAATGAAGTCTAGCTGACGTTAGCTGTGCGCTTGCACGTTTTGTTTACCCCAAAAAGAGATTTTTTCCGAGCAAAATTCGACTACATGTAGAATTAGTCTGAGAATATAAAATTAACATAATTTCTACGTGCACACAATATACGGTATTTTTATAGTATATCTATTTATATGTCAACTATTTATAAATACCTATACTATATAACTTTTATATTAATTATTTTGCATAAAAAGAGAGAAACTATCAATTAATAATTTCTTGATTTTAATTTCTATGTGCGAAATTTAATATATAATATCAAGCATTACACACATTTATTATACACATATACAGGATATTTCAGGTCAAGTCAATGAAACTTTAGAGTTTTATAACAAATTGAATTTGGAATAGAAAAGTTCCAATAAATATAGATCCAAAAATGTTAAAAAGTTATAGTTAATATACTTCGAAAAATCGCGTTTTTATTAATTTTTAAAAGTAATTTCAAGCTTTACAGTTTATCAAACGTTTGTCAACAGTAAAAACAACTTAATAAACAGAATAATAGATGCATCTCTTCAAAATAAATCAACGAAAGGACATACTTCTACAATGCAATAAGTTAATATTGCGTAGATGCCAAGAATGCATTAATGAACACAGAGACATTATTTTGAACATAATTGATAATTAAAAAAATTATTTCTTTATTAATTTTTATTATTTTAATAATAATTATAATTATTTAAAAAATATTTGATAAATTAAAATTATAAACTAATTGTGTAGATGCAATTTTCTTGTTAGCGATAGTGCATTAAAAATACTTTTAACAGAAAAGACAAACATTTCAAAAATTTGTTTTATTTTAATCCCTTAAAAGAAAATATTTTTTTAAAATGATACTTCTATGTTTCTCGTATCCCCCTAGCATTAGGTTCGTAGAAATTTCGTTGAAGCAACAAATACGTGATTTTCGGGATTTTATTTAACTCCGCAGATGTCCAGATGAATTTTCGAATTGGGCCATCTTCCCTTGGGAGTAACGTTATATCTTTGACGGACATGAAGGCGAAATGCGCGGTTTAGGCGATGATTCATCGTAGGTAAGGTTTATCCGCGCAGACTCACGAGCATTTCTCAAGAGAACTCGAGATAAATGGAACAAGTTTCTCAGAGGGGGGTGCATCAGCAATGTTATTTCTGTTACAAGAAGAAAGGTCGCCTCTGTCTTTGTCGCATCTCCATCACCCTTAAATGCATAACTAATGAAGCTTTGGCAGAATTAAATTCGCGAACCAATGTTGTAACTTTATCAACATGTCTTCATTACTTTCATTCCCTAGATGTTTATTACAAAATCAGATTTATTAAAATTCATTGACTACGAATCGCGATTTTATCTATAGTTTACTTTTCCCATTCCGAAATCTATTCGATCTCGATTCGGATATTCAATTACGATTTATTTGCTATGTTAAATAAATAAGTTCTCTCATTTATCTGTTTATCTATTTGTCGATATATTTCTATTTACGTACATATCCATCTTTTTTCCGATTATATTGTTGGTTTAATAATTAAATTTCTCGATAAAAAATAAATATAAACATGTGTACAATATGGCTTAAAAATTCGATTATTAAATAAGCATCGATATTACTAATTACTTATAAATGAAGTAAATTTTTACGCAATTTTTTAAAAACTAGACTGTTTTTAATTTTTGTAAATATCAAAGTTTAAATATCAAGCTCGGCTCCGTAGATTTTTATTTTAATTATAAAGAATACATATAATATAGCAAAAAGAAAAATAAACTCAATGTTATTCGTATAATTGTATATTCAGAACAATCGTGTGCTATCCTAGTATAATTTAAAGATATAATTTCATCCGGATTTCAATATTAAGTGGATGGATAGTTTATGATAGTCTTCAACACATCTGATATTGCTATCTCTTCT